AAGGTCGATATTGTGTGCCTGATGATGCTGAGTTGAGGCAGACTATCCTTACTGAGGCTCATAGTAGTCCATATGCTATGCACCCCGGAGGAGATAAGATGTACCGGAATTTGAGAGAGAGGTATCATTGGATTGGGATGAAGAAAGACATATCTGATTTTGTGGCTAGGTGTTTGACTTGTTAGCAAGTTAAGGCAGAACATCAACATCCATCAGGTTTGTTACAGCCTATCAAGATTCCTGAGTGGAAATGGGAGCGTATGACTATGGATTTTGTTACTGGCTTACCTATGACTCATTCGAAAAAAAAAGATTCAGTTTGGGTGATTGTAGACAGACTTACAAAGTCAGCTCACTTCATTCCTGTGCGGGTAAATTATACTTTGGACAAGTTAGCGCGAGTGTATATTTCAGAGATTATCAGGTTGCATGGTGTTCCGTTGTCTATTATTTCTGATCGAGATCCGAGATTTACTTCGAGATTCTGGAAGGCGCTACATATGGCTTTGGGAACACGATTGGATTTTAGTACATCCTTTCATCCACAAACTGATGGTCAATCTGAGAGAGTGATTCAGATTCTGGAGGATATGTTGTGGGGTTGCGTAATTGATTTTCATGGTAGTTGGGAGAACTTTTTGCCGTTGGCTGAATTTGCTTACAATAATAGTTATCATACCAGCATTCGTATGGTACCTTACGAAGCACTCTATGGGCGTAAATGTCGAACTCCGATATGTTGGACTGAGTTGCGTAATAGAAAAACTTTGGGACCTGAGTTAGTGCGAGAGACGGAGGACACAGTCAGATTGATACGTGACCGTTTGAAAGAGGCATTTGATAGGCAGAAGTCTTATGCAGATCAGAGAAGGAAAGATATACAATTTGAGATTGGTGATCAGGTCTTCTTAAAAGTTTCACCGTGGAAGAAAGTATTGAGATTCGGGCGTAAGGGTAAATTGAGTCCAAGATTTATTGGACCATTTCGTATCTTGAAGAGGGTAGGACCTGTTGCATATCAGCTTGAGTTGCCTTCTGAGCTCAGTCGTATTCATGATGTCTTTCATGTATCAATGTTGAGGCGATATCGTCCAGATCCAGATCACATCATTCAAGTTGATGAGGTGAAGCTGAGACCTGATTTGTCATATGAGGAAGAGCTCATTCATATCTTAGAAAGAGATGAGAGAGTTCTTTGGAATAGGCACATTCCAATGGTCAAAGTTCAATGGAGTAATCGAGGCCCCTCAGAAGCTACTTGGGAGACATTGGAGTCAATGGAGGCTCAGTTTCCTCAACTATTCTCATAAGGTAAATTTCGATGACGAAATTTCTTGTAGAGGGGGAGAATTGTAATAACCCGAATTTTTACAAAAATAATATTTAATTGAAATTGGAGGTTAATTGTAAAAATTGGTGAAAATTGGGGACTAAATTGGAAGATTTTAAAATTTGGAGCTTATTTTAGAGTTAAAGAAAATTTAGGGACTAAGCCCTGAATTTACCCAATAAAATTAGGTAAATTTTGGTTATATGTTATATGCGTGGGTGGTTTTCTGTTTCAAACAGAAAACCACCACCCCAAATTCCCTTTCCCCTACGTCCGTTTCCGACCTAGATCCAGACGCCGTCCGAATTCCGATCGTCGTTTTGAAACCACCATTGTGTTCATCATCGAGCGAGGAACAAACCCTTCAATTTAATTGAAGCGAAACGCTGCCAAACGTCGGGAAATTACAGTCAAAGTCTTGACGTTTTTATTAGCTCTATTACCGGGAAAATCTTAAATTCATCGCCGATCGTTGCTCTGTTTACGCCACCTCCTACACCATCGTGTTCCTTGTGTCGTTTCGAGTCCGCCGGTGTCAACCTTGTTCGCCGTCGAGGGTGGCGCGTGAGGAGGTGGAGCAGTCAAAGATTCGACCGAGTTGAAATTGAGCTCTCCGCCGTTCAAAAATTTGAACCGATCTTTGTAAGTATCTCGAAATCGCTCAAAATAATTTTTAGAATTTTTTCCGGAATTTTTAGACCCCGGAGGAGGCCTCACGCGCCACACGCGCCGCCGCAGGGAGAGTGGAGGGCTGGAAACCGGTTTGACGGTTTCGACCGGTTTGACCGGTCTAACCCGACCCGACCCAACTTACCCGACCGACCGTTGACCGTTGACTTCCTTTGACCAAACTTAAATTGTCTTTGACCGACCTAAACGACCGTAAATCTTTTCCGAGTATACATATTCTGATAGTTTTCGACGTCCCGAATCCGTTTCGTCAAATTCGAACCTGAAGGCCTCCAAATTGACGGTCAAAGTGGTTGACTTGACTTGACCAAGAATCTGAATTTTCGAAAAGTCATACTTTATGTTTTTCGACGTCTGATTCCGATTCCGCAATCCGTTTGGCCAAATTCAGACTCGAAATATCCCAAAATGATAGTCAAACCTGAAAAATGCTTATATACTTAAGAATTTTAGCTTTGAACAATTAAGTAAGATTTGAGGCTGATTAATTATTATTGTTTGAAGGTACAAGAGACTCTCCGGATCGTTTGACAGCTTGACCCAGCTCTTCTAGATCAGTTAAACCACGTATACCAGTATTCACCCGTTCGAAAACTGTAGCAGAGCGTGGTGAAACCAGTAATCAGTAGATCTACTATCTGAACCCATTATCGAGGTGGTTCCTGTTTACTACATAATGGTTTATATGTTTTGAAATATGGTACATTGAAATCTATGGATTATTATTGTTGGTATACCGATTTATTGTTGATGATTATGGACTTTGATGACTGGTATATGGATATGATTTTGGGATGGATTGAACTACAATTGTATAGCTCTGATCAAGCTAATAAACGGGCCTAATGTGACTCTTGAGGGCCCCAAGATGTTTCATTAGGTCGGCTTTCCTTTGCTGTGTGCTTAGGGTAAGCTATATGGACTTATTTACTTGGGCTTAAGGATACAAGCTTCATAGCCTATCCTTAAGTCGACTTTCTTTTGCTATGTGCATAAAGTAAGCTATATGGACATGGACCTATTTTAAAGTATTGGATTTTATAATGATGATACTTTTGCTATTACTATTCAGTTTATCGTGGTTTTGATTTTTTAAGATATGTTTTAAATTAATTTATTACTGATTGGTTTTATATTTAAGAGTTGAGTTTTAATAGTATAATTTATTATATTTCATGTCATGAATAATGTGATTTTACATTGATTGGATAACGGTTTTGGAAAATGTCTTTGTGATCCACTAGACTTAGTCGAAACGCATAGGTCGGGTCTAGGGTGTTACAATCATCGCCCTGCAGAACACATTCACGTCGTAGGCATCGATAGATTTTGTTTTTTATTATATTGTATTTAGTTTTGGACTTTTTAATTGTAATTTTTATTATTTCTCATTTAATACTTACTTTATTTTGTTAAATTTGTTAGATTTTTTTAATGTATTTCTGTTAATTTTGTTTATTATCATTTAATTAGTTATGTAATTTGGTTATCATTTACCATTAATACTTATGTAAGTTTGTTGTATTTAAAGTTATTTTGAAATACCAAATTGTTATCAGTTTGATAAAATTTAATGATTGTGTTCGATAAGTTTCTTAAGTTTGTCACTTATTATCTCTTTTATTATAACATATAACGCAAACGTCAATAATTTAAATAATATAATTTTATATTACATGTACCGCAAAACTATTTCGACGTATATTTTCGCTTTCTAATTTTACAAACACATAAATTAATTAACAACAATTAGTATAATATTTTTTCAAATAATTATAATAAACAATAAATATAATAAAAAATCAGAAATAAATGTAAAGCGCTGCCCCTGCCCCCATGGCCCTACGTGGCATAAGGCACAACTCAGGGATAATGTTTTATCCACGTGTATCAATGTCAAGGCGCTTTAGGGGGAGCGCCTTACCCCACATGGCGCCAAATCAGCATATAGCGTGATGCAGGGGGCGCGCTTTACTGCTAAGGGTGTTAGATCAGAAAATATAATCTGACTAGTGTTAGATCGATAAATATACCGATCACCGGTAATTTTTCGAAAAAAACACCCAAAAATTAGCGTAAACAAAAATTAACATAAAATAAGAAATTATATAAAAAAATCATTTAGGTAAATCACGCTAGGCGTTATACGTTAAGGGTGCGTTTGGTTCACGGAATGTAAGATTACTAGTGGGAATGTAAGATTACAAGGGAATAGGATTACTGTGAATGTTGTATTTTGTGTTTGGTTGGCTTAGCGGGGATGTAAGATTACCGTGTTTGGTTAAATGAATAAAGGATTATTGGAATGTATATTTGACCAAATTATCTTTATTATATATTTTTTAACAAGTTGGAAAATATTTATATATTTTCTTAAAAAATTTAAATTCATAAAATTTATATATTTTTTTTACAAAATTGAAAATATAAAAAAATTTAATGAAAGGGTAAAATTTTATTTTAACTCCTGAACTTCATATAAAATTTTAATTATAGATTTTTTTTATAAATCTAAAATAGTTTAAGGATAAATTTGTAATTTAACCTTCGTAGAATTTTATTATTCAATGACAGAAGAATATTTTAAAAGAAAAAAATAAGGGTATTTTAGTCTAAAACGTCGGTAATTTAACAATACCTAAAAAAATAAAGGTAATGACATTCACGGTAATATAATCTAAAAAAAAAAGAAAAAGGTTGAGGGTGGAGAATAGAAGCGCCCGCATGTTACCGCGTGGACACTGGTCAGTGACCTTCTCATCCATCAAGCAGAAGAGCGGCGCAGAGCTGTCACCAGTAGCGGTATTTCCGTCTTTTCAAGCACACCCCACTGTCTAGGGTTCATTGCCTCTGTTATTAATTATCCCTCCATGCCGGTTCTTCAATTTTTACTCAAAAAGCGAAGTTTAGCTCTTATCGCAAAAAGCTGTCTCCTTTCCTCTGTTTCCCCTGTTTCATTTTCTCCCTCTGTTATCGAATTTTCTTCTCAGTAAATGAAGGGGGTTTTTAATCGTTTACTAATAAGTCGGTATTGCTCTCTCCGTCGACATTTGAGAACCCTTTTTTTCCTTTTGCTTTTATCGTTCTGTTTTGATCGAAGTACTTCACAGAGTTGCTTCATGGATATAATGGATCCGACAGAAAAGGTGGATATCAAAACAATTCATTTTCAATGCTTAAAAGCTTCCATATTTTCTTCTTTTTTCGACCAATTTCTATTTGTGGTACGTAATAATTTGATTTCTGTTTATGATTCAGAATTCACCGAGTGAGAACAAGAAGCTATGCACTGATTGCAAAACCACAAAGACTCCTCTTTGGAGAGGTGGCCCTGCCGGTCCCAAGGTATTTGTTTTCACTTTGCATTTTCTTCACCAGAAATCAACAAATCTTTGAAGCTTGGGTTTATGATTGATCACTGATGGGCTTCTTCTTTGGGTTAATTTCAGTCACTTTGCAATGCATGTGGGATCAGATACAGGAAGAAAAGAAGAACGATGATGGGTTTGAACAAGGGATTAGAGAAGAAAAGGAAGAAAGAGATATCAGATTCTTCACATATCAGCTCCAATGCCAACACAAATGATGATGATGATGATAAGAAGCTTAACGGCAGCTTCAATGGACTGAGTAAGAGTGTGAAGGTGATTATATGCTTGGGAAGTGAAGTTTTGTTGCAAAGTTCATCATCATTATCTGGGGTGGTGAAGAAGCAAAGATGCCAAAGGAGAAGGAAGCTGAGAGAGGTAGAACAGGCTGCTATTTCTTTGATGGCATTGTCCTGTGGCTCAGTTTTTGCTTGACAGAGAAATCCGAAAGAAGTAACCCATAAAGCTCCCCCCCTTTTCATTCTTCTGTTTTTACCTTTGGATAGAGAAGTCAACAGGAGAGCAATGTTTTTTTTGGGGAATAGCTGATGATGATTGTAAATAGTACTTTGGGAATCAATGAACAAGAGAATTCTGTGTTTCGTTGTGAATGATGATTCTTGCATTATACAGTATTTGAGGGGAAATCTAATATTAAAAGATCATAATATTTCTTCACTTTGGAATTAACAGCAAAACTCCACAAGGCTTGCTTGATTCTTGCAAGCTAAAGAACCGTTAAGCCCCGAGCACTATGTATAAGATAAATTGGGATTCCTTGATTTGTTGATCCTTGTCGATGCAATCCGCAGCAGCAACAGAGATGAATGATAAATAATACATAAAAAGGATCTGCATTGTTGTTAAAGAGGTTAAGAGGGAACAAACAAAGACTAAAAATGTGGAAAGGAAAAATTGCTTTCGTTGAGAGTCGAACTCAAGACCTCCCGCTTACTAAACGGGTGCTCTAACCAACTGAGCTACGAAAGCTGCTGTCCCGGTATCCAAATAAATAATTGTAATCCATATAATTACAAAAATACTGTTATGCTTCCGACCTCACAGTGCCGAACAAGGTGACAGATTCCTTAGCTGATATATATATATACGTATGTATATGAGCTTATCTACTACAAAGTGGATTTTATGTCATTTCTTTGAAACCGAAAGAATTGATACATGTAATGTAATATATAGGCAAACACCTCATCTCATGGAACCAACTACAGCTAGAAATTCCCAAGTGATGAAATGAATAATACATCATTATCTTATACAAAGCTCTGTATAAAAACCCGGCCAAACACCACCTCCTTTCCCTTTTCTCCCTTCTCCGAGTGATGAAATGAAAAATCAACGAGAGGGAAAATAAGTAAAAATGAACCTCTAAAGTGTATACCGGGATATTCAATTTTCCCACATTCTTATGCTGCCAGACAAGGAAATTGTTGCTTCTTGACATCTTAAGTAATCGGCTTAAATGGCAGGTCAAAGTGAAATCGTTAAGAGAAAAAGCCATGGTTGGATCAGAAGAGTCTCCTTGAGGATTAGGAGGACCAGCATGACAAGCACATTATAACGAGTACCGTAGCACACACCATCATGGCTCCTTGTTTCTGTGTGTTCTCAGCCTGCAATTCGGATCCATACAAAATTTAGAATGATCACTCACAAATATGTAAATGTGGATAAATAATGGGCAAAGATGAATGACCTTCTGTAGTTGTTTCAGGCCTTCTTCGACCGTAGTTGCAACATTCTGAATGTTGTAGTCTATCCTATCTACAATGGTACCCTGTTTGGAGACTGCACTTAATAACTGAGAAAAGTTTGCAACTTATTAATGCTAGATGGATTTGTACCTGATCGATGACAAGAACAACAATCCTTCATAATCTGTGCAAGCTCATTTACAGAGTCCACAACCTACAAAATCCATTTTATACATGCATAGATAATTCATCCTGGATAGCTTGAAAGGATCATTAGATGACAAAAGATCAAGAGTAATGCACCTGCCTGTTGAATCTCCCTTTCCCTCTCAACTGTTAATGCTTCACTTGTTTTAACTTTGCCATCTGATGCTCACTAAATACCTAAATGACATAATTGTGCAATATTAGAATCAGATAAAAGAGACAAATCCATCAACACCTAAATTTACGAATATACAACAAAAATATGGAAGTTGGAGTAGGCACATTTTGGAGCTTCGTTGCCCACAATTGGGTTCCTGTTCAGCTTACGTAGATTTCAAGCCGAATCTACCTCGTGAGTTCTCGCCTCTCGGTCACTCTAAAAACGTCGGAAAAAAAACACTAATACACATGAAGGAAAGTCGTTAAGGGTCCTTATGTTTTCGGTTGATGTTGCTGCAGAGGAGGCCGAGCGGATACTTCAGTGCAGAGGTCGGGTTTTCTGCTTGCATGATGAGCCAGGGGTGCACAGGGTTTGGCTACCTGGTGAGGAGTCGCCGGGCTGGCGATGTCCAGAGCTTTCGGGGACTACTGCATTAAAGATCACGGACTTATTTCGGTTCCGGAAGTCACACAACGATATAACCGGCAGAGACGAATTTGTAGTGCTCGCTACAGATGGGGTTTATACATATATGTGTCGAGTGATGAATAATCTATGTGCCGACTGCCAACGACTTGTATGCGAAGACTTGTTGGATCTCGACTCTCAAGTCTTCCATTAATCAACCAAATAAATTTTGAGTGGTAAAATCAGTACGATCAAGCATTTAACGATCTCCAACTGGCAACCATCATTGAGTCTCCGAGTTTGACCATTCTTACACCGATCCATCCTTAAAAGATCGGAGAGCAATATTCTGAACTAGTTTTTCCCTTGGAAAAGATGGACGAGTTTGGTTGTCATCTTATTTGGCAATTCTCTTGCTGTTGGTTGCTGCCTCCAGTTCTGGTATACGTCATCCAAACACACATTGCATAATGTGATGTTCAATTTGTCTTAATTGCTTCATTTCTGGGTTTTAAAATGCAGATCAAGTCTCACTCTCATCTTCAAGGTTGGATCTCGACTCTCAAGTCTTCCATTAATCACCAAATAAATTTTGAGTGGTAAAATCAGTACGATCAAGCATTTAACGATCTCCAACTGGCAACCACTCATTGAGTCATCCGAGTTTGACCATTCTTACACCGATCCATCCTTAAAAGATCGGAGAGCAATATTCTGAACTAGTTTTTCCCTTGGAAAAGAATGGAACGAGTTTGGTTGTCATCTTATTGGCAATTCTCTTGCTGTTGGTTGCTGCCTCCAGTTCTGGTATACTTCATCCAAACACACATTGCATAATGTGATGTTCAATTTGTCTTAATTGCTTCATTTCTCGTGGTTTTAAAATGCAGATCAAGTCTCACTCTCATCTTCAAGGCATCTGCTTCAGACTAAGAAAGGTTTTCACTATGCTTTTAAAACTTTCTATCCATGAATTTTCTTCAGAAAATATATACACCTTGTGTCACGAATCAAACTCTTTCCGTTAATCTGAGTTAACACTAATAAATCAGATGGAACCAAGATGACCAAATTACTCAACTTTAAAAATACAACTATTAAATATTTAAACTCAAAATTTAAAAGTATAATATAATTTATCTAATATTTAAATTTATGGGCTCTAGACTGTCATTTGATAAAAAAATTGGAGCCATGGCCCCCGCCATCCCCTTCTTTAGTTATGTTCCTGATGGTAGAGTTGGTTTTTGTTTGAGTCCATCTAAATTGATTGATTGAGTTTTGAGTTGTGATTTATTTTGGGTTCGGATTATTTTGAGTTTGATGTGCGAGTGAATTTGATAAACACTTTAGATTTGAGTTATTTTGGATTCATATCAATTCTATAGTATTAATCTAGATTTAAATTATTCATCTTTAATGATATTTTTATAATTATTCCATCAGTTTTTCCGTTAAATATTATTTATATCTAGATTGATACTATTATTTAGATAATTAAGTGGGTTAAGTTCATAGGGGACAAAACACCAGTTGTAAATGCTCTTTTTTTTTTTTGCATGTCTTGATATGCACCTTGTCCTATTAACTTCGAATTTCTGAACTACACGTCATCACGAGAAATTCGCTTGCCCCTACGCAAAACAGATCAATGATTTGACAACCGACTGTGCTTCCACCATGTCAGCTACATCCACCTTTACGGCAAATATCCGCCAGGTCTTTTCGCAAGTGAATGCCGAGAAGGGAAGGAAGGCCTCAAGTGCCCCAAATCTCCACCCTCTGCACCCACAAATATTGCTAATTAATATACCCGTTTGCTGTCGCTAATGCTAAACGAGTCTAGTTATCATCACCAAATTGCTGTTAAAAATGGTGATTTCTATACCGAAAAGTAACAAGACTTTGTTTGGTTTTAAGGGCCTTTGTGTGTGTGTTTCTTATTAATTAAGTGCTTTTGTGTCATTGTAGGAGTTGGGTTTTGTTGCAATTCAGTTACTAAAATAATAATAAGACAAAAGGGGTGTCAACGGCCCATGTATTAAAAAAAATCAACGTGGCTTTTTTTTTTCGTGACCCTTTAAGTAAAAAAAAAATCAGTGTAGTCTTTTAACTAACATTTTTTTATCGTTGATTAACGACTCCGTTACTTTATGTTGACGTGGCACGTTAAGCATGTCAAAATCTTATTTTTCTCTTAATCTGACACTTTTATTTTTTCTCTTCTATTTCAGTCCTTAAACTTTAAAAGTTTTCAATTTAATCACTCAACTTTTGAATTACTCATGTTTTAATCATCATGATTTATTTTTATTAATATTTATATATGAAATGACATTTATTATTCTTATTTTATTAATATATGATTAAAATAAAATTAATTAAATTTTAAAATTATATTGAAAACAAAAAAATATTTCTAAAATTATAATTAAGTTAAAAAATATTCTGTATGCTTTAAATATTTCCAAATCTCCACTTTCTTCCTTTATCCTCTCATTTTTATTCTTCATTTTCAACTAAAGATTTCTTTTTTTTTTTCTTTCATTACCTGATCAATTAGCTCATCCCCTGTTTTTTCAATTTTCTATAAGTTGAATATGGGTTCACTGAATCTGATAATTAAAGAAAAAAAAGAAATCTTTGGTTGGAAAGAAAAAATCCCTAATCACACATAAATGTCATATCATACATAAATATTAATAAAATAAATCATGATGATTAAAACATAAGCAATTCAAAAGTTGAGTGATTAAATTGAAATTTTTTAAAGTTTAGTAACTAAAATAGAAGAGAAAAATAGGAGGGTCAGATTGAGTTATTTTTTTGAGTTGGAGGGCTCGATTGAGATAAAAAAAATAGGATTTTAGGTTGCTTAACGTGTCACGTCAGCACAAAGTAACAGAGTTGTTGGTCAACGACAGAAAACGTTGGTTAAACGATGGTTGACGAACAATTCGCAAAATAGTTTATTCATTTACCCTTAAATACAAAATTATATTATTAATAAAAAATATA